TGAGTAGTTGGCAGCTGCTGAAAAGCAGCAGCTGCTACAGACAATCCCTGGAGGGTCCAGCCTCCAGAGAACACTGTCCCCCCATCCTACCGATCAGCGACTGGTAGGACAGGGGTCATTCTCCCATGCTGGGAACCCTACTGGTAGTAGCATAGGGACACAGCTGGGCACCTGGGGCACAGGGGCAATGGCAGCTTCCACCTGCCATACAGTTGTGATTATTCAGCTGCCGGAAGGAACTGCATTTTTATCACCCGCCACTCCTCAGTCAGTGCCTGAGGTGGTTGCCCCATTTGCCCTGCCCTAGTTACATCACTGCCTCCCAGTTCCTACCACAGGAGAATAACCTCCACTCCATGAACACCTCTGGAGTCTACCAGAGGAGTGGAGGGGGGAGTATGGGGGCAAGGACCATTCTGATACAGCAGCAAGGTTCCCTGAGACACTATGGCATAGCTGCCTACTTCCCCCACACACCTCAGTGCCATCCCGGAGAAGTGCAGGTGGTGGGGCATGGCCAACGGCCTCTCTCCCTAGCAGAGATCCTCCTTGAGGCTCCAAGAGGGTTCCTGCCGCAGGAGAATGCCCCCAGTTGCCAATCAGCTGAATGGCAGAGGGGTGGGCTGAGTCTTCCAAGGCAGGACCCCACAGAGCTCACCCCTGGATGGGCTATTTCAGGGAGCCAGTGCCCTCCCTTCCTCCCTCTCCCTTGGAGGAAGGGATAGCTGAGGACTGTGGGATACTGGGTGTCATCCATACTCAAGAGTAGTACACAGCCATTCGTGTTTGTGCAGGAGGAGGGAAATCTTCCTCACAGGAATCAATCTAGCTTTCTTGCAGAAGAGCCAGTTCTTCTTCCACAAGAAATCCCCGCAACAGCTGTGCATTCCCATTGTATACCAGGAGAAAGGCTTTTTTCCCCAGCATAAACGTAATGACTGTCCATGGCCAAAGTTCTATTTTCATAAAAGATTTTAAAAAGCTCAAAGGATAAACATATACTACCTGTATATAGGAGAGGAATAATTGGGGTAGTAAAGTATTCTGACGAGGTAGATCCAGTCGCTGCCAACTGTTTGCAGCCTGCCAGCTGCAGTTACCCAGAGCCGGGGTAGCTGCTGACGGCCACAGAGCCCTGGCTGAGGGGCAGAGGCTTTGGGTGGGGGGCAAGGGACAGCAGGGCTGGGGGGCACAGGGCAGCAAGGCTGGGGGCAAGGGATATGGGTGGGGTGCAAGTGGCACAAGCACTGCATCCTTCCACATACCCCCTGCCCTCATTTTGTTTTTCTGGCATGCCAGCACTCCGGCACCTTCCAAGGTAGGCACTGTGGGGTTTTTCAGCACTCCATACAAATAACGTTGCCTACCCCTATTTTGGTAGAATACCTTAAAATAAAAAATATTAAATAATAGAACTTTGCACATGCATATTTTAAAATCAACACCAAGATTTACTTGGTTTATTTTTAACCTTATTAACCTTTTCTTTAGAGGAAAAAAAATCATTAAAGTTGGTTTGTTCAGAAATAGATAGTTCTTCACTGGGTATTAGCTCTCTTTTAATCAGTCATTCATTTCAGTTTGATATGCTTGATATTCATTTTTTATTGATTTCCCATCCCACCAAATAATGTGTATGCAGTTGCCCTTAAAACCATTTTTGGTCATTTTTCAATAATCTATTAATCTGTTAAATCACATACTACCTCTTTAGCATTTGCCTCATTTAATTTCTTTTGGATTTGGGGAAGCCACAGCATTTACAGTAATGGAGTACAATATGACAGAAAAACTGAAAATAGTACTGCAAGAAATACAAGTGAGAGCCCTTGGACATATCTTGCTGTTTTTAACTTTCTCTTCAGTATTTGGGGGAACTTGAACAACTAATACCACATTTCTGGTAAAAATTTTCAAAATCTGCCATGTGCTACAAGAATTCATGGCTGGGATAGATCAGTTTATTTAGAACTTATTTAGAAGATAACCCTTTAAATTCTTCAACATACTACTTTCTTTAGTAACGGTGTTACAATATCAGTACTGTACCATATAGTATACAGCAGTACTAAGCTTCTGGCATGATACAAAACTGTAGACTTAGCATGGCTGGGTCATTAAAATTCTGATTGCAATTCATCTGCACGATACTTCATGGAAAAAAATGGAAGTTGAAGTCCTTGGCCAGAACAGATAATCATCATACATATAGAAATACAAGAGTACATGGGAGCATATGGGACATAAAGAAAGATAAGGAAGGATGAGGTTTACTAGGGCCATGACATTTCTGTCCATCAGTGATACATTTATCTTAGATGTTACACAAGATTTCTCAAAAAGGTCACATCTTTAATTCATTTCCTAAGAGGAGGAATGGATCTGTTGTCTTACAACAGAAACAAATTGTGCATAAAGAGGTGAAGATCAAGAAACACTGATCACAAAATCTGGGTGAGGGTTGGCCACATATGGATTTCAGGCAGCTTTGTCTGAACAAAAAGGGAAAAAGGAACAGGAACCAAACTGTGAAGGACCA